AAAATTATTTTTTTTAATAGTCTGGAGTGATTATAAGTTATTATTTGTTCAAAGTTTTCTTAATCCATCGACAATGTATAAATTACTTTATAGTCGTGACTACTCAAATCCAAAATCTCTAAGATAATATTTATTTCTACCATCGAAGTCATTTGATGAATTCACCAAACATGTTTATTAAAGTTTGTTTATGTTAATTACTTCACTAAGTACTGTCGCCATTAATATAGCCTCTGGACTGTACAATTTTGAAACAACAAACGTATGTTGGCTCTTCCTATAAATAGATAAAGCCAAACCAGTTTGATCAATTTAAGTCAAAACCTGCCCATAACTAGAATCTCCAATTTATTGATTTACTCTGGATTCGATTAAAGCCATGGAGAAATGGCCATGCACCAAATCAAAATAATTATATAAAAAGACCAGACAAAATAGGCCGCCTGAATTATTGTTGATGTGGAATAGAACCTATTTTATATTCGTTATATAATTCATATTCGAAGATTATAATTGTTTCTCTCAGTAATATTCTTTTTATGATTTAAATCTAATTTTTTTCTTTAAAAATATAATGCATTTTATCACTGTACTTTACCACTTATTAATATTTCGAAAGAAATGTTGGAATGCATCGTGTATGGTTAACTTTTAAAGTTGGGCTTGGGATTTGATTAATTGACGTTTTGATTAGATAAGTATTTTTTTTATAGAAACTTTTTAATAAAAGTATAAAATATCAAAATTACGATGGAAGTTTATAATCACTGTTGCAAATTAAATATATAATGAATATATTTTTCTTATAATCATTAACATAAGAAAACTAGTCACCTAAGATCTCACAAGGGCCATAAAAGGAGAAAGATAAAAAATAATCAAATAAACTCGAATAAAAGGTAAATATGAACATATATGTCCACATCGATAAACAAATCACAAAAAAAATCAAGCTATTGAAAGACAACCGATGAATGACAAATCAGAGTCGAGTGACGTAAAAAAACTACCCATGAATGCAAATCGCGTATCCAAATCCAATCCGAAAGTGCAAAGCAGTGAAGAGCAATATGATAATAAATAAGAGTCATCTTGATTAATTGTGACGATGTCAAATCCAACTATAAGAAAAATGATAAATGAAAACAATGGCAAAAAAATGTTTCATAAAGACAGAAAAATGTGCCATAAAAACATAGAAAACGAATCATAAAGACTGAATTATTAAAAATTTAAAAATAAATAAATTTATTCTATAATAAAATAAAATAAATATTGGCGGTCAACGAACAACACTAAGAATAATATCATCACTTATCACAAAGATTTGATAAGTAAATTAACAATTAGAACATGGGAAAAAGTGGGTAAAGAGAGAAATTATATTAGAAAAGAGTGCAATTAGGACATGATTTCCTATTGCTTTCTCAAGCTTCTTTGCCTAAACATCTTTTTAAGTTGGTAAGCGCATGGATTGCAAAGTTCCACATACACATTAATTAGGTTATGTATGAGTTGTTTAGTTGATATTATTGTTGTTGTAATATTTAAGAGATTGTGACTTCAAATATATTTAAATATAATTATCTAGGATTTAGTAGTTAACAAGTTATGAGTCATTTAAGTATCTTATTTTGTATATAAAAAGTATTGGTTTGTATTTGTCAATATAGTATATAATAAAAAATAATCATATTAATATGAAACATGTCAATAATTAAAACTATTTTAATTATGAATGGTAGAACGTGAATTGTTAATAAAATACAAAATTTCTAAACATATATTACCTTATAATTATTTCATATTATTTAAAAAAAATATGAATGGTAGATCCATAAGTATTAGATGAAGTAATAAAAACACATTATACTTCATGATATACATGAAAAATATTAAAGAAAAACAACATAACATAGATTATACTTTAGGATAAATTATACCAAATATGACTAACCTTTAACATGTATATTATCTTTATTATTGAACTTTAAATTACTTAAATTTGAATATTAAGCTTTAGCTTCGGGTTTAATTAGGGTACTAGATCATTAAATCATTAACAACATGGTCATCAAAGTTATTTTTTTGGTTTCATCAAAAGGTAGAGTCGATATTGATCGTGTTGAGCTAAGTATAACAGAGTACTTTCAGTTACAATCTGCGTCTTTATCTAAGATAAAAAAATAAGATTAAAAATCAATTACGTTGAACAAAATTGAAATTCCCTACTATATCTAAAATTTATATCTTGTAAAGAAAATATATCTCATTCTTTTAAAAAAGAAATGAAACATACACGTACCAAGAAAAAATCATAACATAATTAACTACATTCGGACTTTGGCCTTTGGCCTTTGGCCTTTGGTAGACGACCATTGCCTCTTGTTTTACTGATGTTGTATAAGCAATTAAGCACACTCGGCAACTCAGATGTAAACTGCTTTGGTTTCGGCTCTCCGTCTCCTAACTCTCTCGCTCTAGATCACCAGATTCAGAACACGTGTACGTTCCAGCTATGCTTTGACCCTGGCTCCACCACTGTGATTCTTATTTCACATGTTTTTATGGGGAAATTCTCAGGTGGGTCCCTTTTCCCGTTTGCCGTCTCACACTCGCGAAGCTTCCACGTCTGCTTTCCCACGAGGAATTCGGTACCCCATGACGTGGCATGGGCCCTGGCTGATCTGGTTGTTTTTAACGAGAAGATCCTAACGGCTCGACCTTGTGAGCTATGATGCACCGCAAGTATCACTAATGGGTCCCGCCTCGGCCGAGTAGACTCGATTTGCCTTTAAAATGCGTCGAGTTTAAGTTAGTGTTCATTGCTCACTAGTAAATAGATATTATCAGTTTCGGTCAGCGAATAGATTGTACTACCAATTTATTGGTTTAACCGATTGAAACGATTAGATCGGTCAGAAGAATCGGACGACATCATAATTATTTAAAAATTAAATAAAAATACGAAAAATATTTAATAAAAAACTAAAAAACATTTAGGTTGAACCGGTTCGAACGGTTCACAGTCGATTCAGTGGTTCTTTACGGTTTACTAATAGCGGTTTAATCGGGGTAAAATGAACTAGACTAGGCAGCGATTCCCGATTGAACCGACCGATCCGATCCAGTTTTAAAAAACACTGCTTAATACGGTAGAGCTCAGTTACCTGCTCTTACTATGCCTTTTGTACTAACTACTTAACGAAATTAATTCTATTAAAAAGGAAATTTAAAATAAATTTAGTTTTTGAAAAATGTAGTTTTTTTATTTCTTCAATTTTATTAAGATATATTAAAATAAATTTAAAAGTTAATAAAATATATATATTTTTAAAAAATATACAAACATTCACACATCAAATTATCACAATTATGATTCTCTTAATTTTAGTTGAAAAATGAATTATTTTCCGTAACAAAAAATATGTTCCATCCTTTAAAAACAAGAGACTTAATGAATTACTTTATTTCATTGATTGAAAATCACATTACCGGCAATTAAAAAACCTAATCTAAATCTAATTAATTTTATTTTATTTATTATTATAATTTAATAAATATATGTGATTATGTTAATTATATTTATAAAATAACTATATATATATCATCTTTAGACTGTAAGAAAAGTGAAAAAATTATACATATATAAAGAAGAAGATAAGGTTAGTATCAGCCTACCAATAAGATATGGAATTTATATATTCCCTTTATGTGGAATTTACATTTTTTATTTTTATATGAAATTTATGTCTATATTATTGAATTTTTATTATGACTAGATTTAATATCAATTTAGTTTAAAAAAACATTTTAAAGTTATTGTTAAAATTATAATCAGTTTTAATTTAATTTGATTTTGTCTCTACCAGTGGTGTCTGACTTTATTCGAAACCCGGAAGCTATCGTTCGTGGGGTGCTGTAATGGAGATTTCTGGTGCTGCGATTTTGAGCTGTTTGTTTTAGCTTTGTGTGGTTCACTTTGGCTTTTGCTTTGGGTGGACCAGTCTGGCTACTGATTTCGAATTGGAATTTCGTGAGGGCTGCTCGATCATGTAGCATCTTTCTTTGAAGTTTTTCAGCACTGTTTTATTGTTGAAGAGTTTTTCCTGATTCTTCTCGTTCGTCTCTTGGTGCTATCTTGTTTTGGTCTGCAGTATGTTTTGTTTTTGGTCGTGTATTCAACCGAATGTCTTTCCTTCTGTGTTGTTCTTTTCTAATGTTCATCAAGCAGCTCCAACAGGGGGTAATACGTATCCATTCATTTGTAGCTTGTTATGAGCGGTTCTGGTGGTATAGTATTCGGTTCAGGTTTTGTTGTAATTGGGTTCTTCTTGTCTTTATAGTCTTCTTCCATCCCAAGGTTCACTTTTTTTCCTCTAATTAGGTCTAGAGAGGTTTTTTAATGAGATCCTTGGGGTGGTGTACTTTGGTTGCCTAATACAAAGTACCCATTTTTCAAAAAAAAAAAAAAAAAACTTTTATCATTAATTATATTTGTCTTCTTTAAATTGATATCTTAGTTCTATCCATGTCATTGACTGACAACATGTGAATATTATTATACAGGAACCAAGACCACAATAAGACTAACTGTAAATTACATGTTATTATATTGCAAACGTAAAATTCCAATTGACAACATGTTCAAACAAGAACAACTTGGGGAAAATTGACTGAATGTTCAAACAAGTAGTGGGCAACTAAATGATTGGGATCATACTCTTGTGGAATCGATTAAGCTAAGTAGAAAACAACAGTTGGGAGAGAATTTATTTACCGATTCTCCTGCTATAGTGAATTTTGTCGATTCGATTGAGTAATTTCTAGGAGTTTTTTCTTTTCTACTTGAGAATTGAGATTCTTTTAACTTCTTGTAAAAGCCTAATTACATAGACAATCCTTCCAAAACCACAAATAATGAATTTTGTCCCTATCAAACTTTCTGCCATTCATTTAATCCCGCTCTATATAAAGTACTCCCCCATAACCTTCTCAACTTCAAACCAAAGTATATCGTTCACCATTGATGTTTGTGTTTTTCCTGTAACCTCTTCCCTGCTAGTTGCAACACCACAATTTCATCAGATAAAGAAAAAGGAAATTAAGGATTTCATTTTTTTTCCCAATGGAAACTACACTTTTCATTTTACTATACGTGATTCTCTTTCTTTCAACTCTTCTTTCATATCCATTTCTTAGGAAGAAGAAGAGAGGGTTTCGTATAGGAAGACCTAAGCTTCCACCAGGTTCAATGGGTTGGCCATATATTGGGGAAACTCTTCAGCTTTACTCTCAAGACCCAAATATATTCTTTCTTACAAAACAAAGAAGGTTTCCGTTGTTCTTACCTTACCAGGCTTTGTTCTTCATTTTCCTTTGTTCTGGTATACTGAACTCGGATGGTGCCTGCTGCCATTGTTTGTTTCTTTGTTTTCCCTTTTGATGTTTCAGATATGGAGAAATATTCAAAACCCAAATACTTGGTTGTCCATGTGTCATGCTGGCTAGCCCTGAAGCTGCAAGGTTCGTGCTGTTGACTCATGCTCACTTGTTCAAACCAACTTACCCCAAAAGCAAAGAGAAGATGATTGGCCCTTGCGCGCTCTTCTTTCACCAGGGCGAGTACCACACTCGGCTAAGGAAGTTGGTTCAAAGGTCGCTATCCCCTGATTCCATCAGGAAGCTAATTCCCGATATCCAACGCATAGCTCTCTCTGCCTTGGACTCATTGGCTGCCTCTGGACAAGTTATGAACACCTTTTCTGAGATGAAGAAGGTATTTTTAAACATATTTCTAACCTGTTTAAAGAGTGCTTTTTTTTTGGCTAATCTAAATTGCCCTACAGTGTTCTTCACTTTTCTCACATTGTATCATGATTTTATAACATGTACAGTTCGCTTTCGATGTCGGCATTCTTTCAATTTTTGGTCACTTGGATGGAGGCTACAAGGAGAAGTTAGAGGAGAACTACCGGATATTGGATAAAGGTTACAACTCTCTTCCCACAAAAATTCCTGGGAGTGCATATCATAAAGCACTCCAGGTAAGAACTCCTTACCATAGAAAGATATGTGTATATGATACCTCAAGAGGCAATTCTAAATTGTTTTCCTCCTCATTGAAAAGGCAAGGAAAAGGTTGAATCAGATTCTGGGTGAAATAATTCGTGAGAGGAAGGAGAAAAGGTTGGTGGAGAAGGATCTTTTGGGACATCTGTTGAACTTCAAGGATGAAAAGGGACAAATTTTGACTGAAGATCAGATTGCTGATAACATCATTGGAGTACTTTTTGCTGCACAGGACACCACTGCCAGTGTCATAACATGGATTCTTAAATTCCTCCATGATGACCCCAAGCTTCTCGAAGCTTTCAAGGTAAATCATCCTACTATTCCACTCGAAGACGACTTAAAAAAATCGAACGTCTCGATTCATGGTTTCTCACAATTGTTGCAGACGGAGCAAAAGGCCATAAGCCAGTCAAACAGTGGAAGAGAGGGGCATCTAACATGGGCACAAACAAGGAACATGACTCTTACACACAGGGTATAAACTGTTCAAAGTCATACATGTTGTTTCAACCAAGGATTTCAAGAAACCTCTAAGGTTTTGAGGATTTAATTTCAGGTCTTACTAGAGAGCTTGAGGATGGCAAGCATCATATCTTTCACATTCAGGGAAGCAGTAGTTGATGTGGAATACAAGGGTAAATAAATTGAAGACTTAACTGGAATATTCTCTTATATGTATTGGATTCAAGGTGGCATTAATTAATTACTGTTCTTTTAACTTTTACATGTGCAGGATACCTAATACCCAAGGGTTGGAAAGTGATGCCATTGTTCAGGAATATTCATCATAACCCAGAATTCTTTTCTGAACCTCAACGCTTTGATCCATCTAGATTTAAGGTACTTACTGTTTTTTTATAAAGATTATAGGCAAATGATTGGCATAGGCTTACTGTTGTTGTTGTTCCCCCCCCCCCCCTTTCCTGTATATGGGTTCAAGCAGGCAGCTCCAAAACCCAATACCTTCATGCCATTTGGCAGTGGTGTACATGCCTGTCCAGGCAACGAACTAGCCAAGCTGGAGGCTCTTATTTTCATCCATCATCTAGTAACACGGTTCAGGTATAATTCACTCGAACTAGATTAGATATCTAGTAACACAATTCTGGTATAATTTACTCAGATGACAAAATATGATTGAATTAGTTATCTAGTAACACAATTCATGTATAATTCACTCGGACTACAAAATATTACTGAATTGAATATCTAGAATAATTCACTCAGATTATAAAACATAACTGAATTGAACATCTAGTAACCCAATGTATAATTTACTTGGATTACAATATGTTATTTGCAGGTGGGAGGTGGTGGGCTGTGAAAGTGGGATCCAATATGGCCCATTTCCAGTACCTCAAGGAGGACTCCCAGCCAGATTTTGGAAACAATCCAGCTGTTCTTCCCAAGGTATGTGCCCATAACTGACGAATTTGGGAAATAAATCAAAGAATCCATCCAGCAGTGCAGCAACCAGAACTTTTCCTGCTTCCTAACCAAACCCTGCTATTTTTTTTATCCATCATATCAGATCAGATTTCACCTTCATTTACTACAATTATTAACTTATTGTAATTTATGCAGCTAGTAACTGTTTAACTTTTCCTTTAGAATATGTATTTATATTATCGATTACAATAAAAAAATAGTAATGAAAAAAATGATTTCTCCAATTTTCTCACAACTACTCCTTCAAGTTTTTTGTTTTAAAAATAATTAAGAGCGATTAAAAATTAGTATTTGTTTATAATTATTTTAGTATATTAATAATGTGTACACACTTTATAGATATTATTATTCGAACCTGAAACCTACTTTAAGAATAATTTCTTTCCAATTATTCTTGAGTTCTTCGTTTAACTTTTATTTTAATTTATAATAAATGGGAAATTCTAAAGTAAGGAAGTTAAATTAAGCTTATAATAAAAAAAATACACATGTTATTAAGAAATTGAGCAAGTGTAATTTCTCAAAACATTATTGTAATATTTTATGTGATTGAATAATATTTGTCTAATTAGATAATTACAAAAAAATTATAAAATTTAAATAAGATATTTTAAAATAATAACTTCTTAAAGAAGGAAAAAGAAAATTATAATTCTAATACGTATAAAACCTAACCCACAACCTAAGAGAGGAGAAAGATATTAATTGAAAATTTTTAATCATCTTTTTATTATTAACATAAAATTTTAATCATTAATATAATTTGAAAATGTTTTATGTAATTTTCTTGTCGTAATAAGGCTACTTGCCTAGGAACTACCCATAATAAATAGGTAAATTAACAGAACATTTGCAAGGTTGCAATGCACCGCCATTCTTGTCTAGGCAATACGTGTAAGCATGTGCACAATGATTTCACGTGGCAGTGTGCACAAGTGGGCATAATAAAGGCCACGTGTCCATCCATTGGTTGGGCAAAAAACCAGAGGTGCCTTCGGCTGGAGGGCACATTCTCTGTTAAGGGCATGCTTTCTTCATGTCTAGTGACTAGTATGGAATGGGGAGCCCCATATAGAACAAAGTACATTACAACCAGACAACTACTTATATTTGAACGAAAATATTTGAATAACTCAACAATGTTCTCAGCAGAATGTATAATTTGATAAAAAAAAAAACTGACAGTCGAAAACATGTTTAGAGCTTACTTGAAGAGAAAGGCAAAGAAAGTGTATTACAGCAGACAACGGTTCATGCATGTAGATGTGAAAAGCCTGTTTGTCTTGCAAAACAAATTCCTCGGCATTGATTCCATATAAAGACAGCTTCACTCATGATATCTAAAATCTTTTTATGGGTGTTGGTGGGGGAGGCAGGAGCATTGAGAATTGGATCTGAGTTGGGAATGGGCAATGGGTTGGTGTAGGATTAGGGCTGGGTTCAAATTTGGTCCAAACTCAGACGAAACCGAATTCCTTCTAGATGGGATGGGATGGGATGTGGCGAATTGGGGCATTTGAACTTGTCAAACGCGGAGGGAGGGGCGGACCCTTTGACTGTCAACCCCTAATAACTTCTTACTTGTCGCAAATTGGCAGCTACTTCAACTCCCAGTGACACACATGTACGTTTTTCCTGCCACCGTACCTCACTGTTAAAATCACTAGCTGTTCTTGAAAATGACATTAAACTGTTTCCCTTGCATTTTAATTAAGGCCTTCCGTTGACTGTACGCAATAATATATCTTGTGGATTTCGTTCACTGAAAACCTATCACTTCTCTGTGTGAATCGGTAAAAGAGTTATAAAGTGCAAATTTATTAAACAAATATGGTCAAAGTAGTTTTTATTATTTAATTGCTTCATTTATTAATTAAACTAGTTAAAATTTCTATAACTTAATTTTTTTTTCTTATGAAATCCAATTTTTTTTAAAAAAATAATGATTTAAACATTGTCATTAAATTAAATTATTAAATTTAACTACTACTTTTATATTTATGTGTATGTAGTTTTTGAGAATATATGTATATAATTGAAATATATTTATACATATATAAAATATATTTTATTTAAATATTAAACATCACATCATAGAATAAATTTATAAATATTTAAAAATATTGACAAACTCAAAATGATACACATAAACACTAATATGCATTACTATAATATGGTACTAACAACCTTCCATTATATATGAGATACTTTTCAAAAATTCACCTAACATTTATATTTTTAACCAAGATAAATTTATTCTAAAATATTTAATTGAAATAAGACATATAGTGTATATTATATTTTACTAGATTCATTATTGAATAACATAAGATATACTACATAAAAATAATTATTTAATGAATCATTATAAGTGAATCGTAAAAATATATTAGTCGTGTGTTTAATTCTTAAATATTAAATTTAAATTGTTTTAAACATCATTTTTAATATCATTAAATACTTTATAAAAATTAACATTTTGATTTATTTTTAACTTAAATAATAGTGTAGATACAGATTTTAATTTTCAGCATCAGTAAGACGAAACTTCTTGGGTGTCGAAGAAATTGGGCCTTTGTTTCCAAATCCCGCGTGTTTTCAGCGTTACTCTCATAATAGTTGCCACATGTTAATTTTATTATTCTACATTCCCAATTAAATACCACGTGCGAGCACTTTCAAATCCTTTATTACAAGTTATGACCAGAGTTCCGCGTGGGGTAAGTGTTCCAGCTGGCATGCCACGTCAGAGTCCTTACAAGTCTCCGTATAAAAGCTCCTCCGCTCACTTCCCATTTCCTCAAAAAATCCAAACCTTAACACCCAGAAAACAAAGAGAACTAAAAGAACTCAAAAAAAAAAAATCTCAAAAGTCAGAAGTAAATCCCCAAAGACAAACTCACTACAAATATACAGAAGCCCATGAAAAGACAGAAACTTAGCTCAGCTCCCTCATCATCGGTTCCGCCGCCGCCACCACCACAGATTCACCGTCTTTCTCCTGAACACGAACTCTCCGTCATGGTCTCCGCCCTGAGAAACGTCATAACCGGCATCACCCCCTCCTCCTCCGCCGCCTCCGTCGATATTCCATCCGGTTTGTGTTCCTTTATGACTTCCACTCCCGCCGGTCCTGTTGATAGTGGGAGCGTGTTATTTCAAACGAGTGAAGTTATGGATAAGTGCCACGTGTGCAATTTTGACGGCTGCTTGGGGTGCAATCTTTTCCCGCCAAGTCAGCAGGAAGAACAAAAGGGTACAACGACGACGACGACGACTATTAGTAAAACAAAACGAGTAAAGAAAAACTACAGGGGAGTTAGGCAAAGGCCGTGGGGAAAATGGGCGGCGGAGATTCGAGATCCGAAACGCGCAACCAGGGTCTGGCTCGGAACATTCAACACGGCGGAGGAAGCTGCTCGGGCTTACGATAAAGCAGCCATCGATTTCCGCGGACCAAGAGCTAAACTTAACTTCCCATTCCCGGCAACCTACGGCAATGACGAAGTAACAACAACAGCAGCAGCGACAACTGTAGATGTCTCCGATCAAGAAAATAGCCGATGGATGAATTTTAACACGGGAAGGGACACGGAAATGAGAGTGGGGACGGAGTTTTTGGATGGAATGGGGCAAGATGAGATTCAACATTGGATGATGATGATGACGACGGATTTTGATTGGGACAATAATTCCTCGGATTCTGCTACGACTCTGGGACTTGATTAATGAACAGTCGAAATTATTGTTTTGCTGCTTTCATTTTTTTTAACTATTTCTTGCTCGTCATTGCTTCCGTTAAAAATGGAAAGTAAAAGGCTATTTCTTGCTGTATTAGTTGCAGGAAAGGGTTCATCAATGAAGCAACTGTACAATCGTTCTTCAAATAATTCAAATGGCATATATTTCCCGTAGTTTTTGGTCTCTGTTCTTTTTTTGTTCTTCTTTGACATTCAAAATCATGTTTTGGCATTTATGATTGTGGAGATGACGCTGCAACTGCAAATTCCAGGAGCACTTGGTGGGTTCGATTTGGCTTGGAAAATACAGTCAATTTAAAAGTTCAATCCATATATGAGACTGGAACATGCATAAGCACCCAATTGAAAGTGAAATGAACTATGAAAATGACATTTCAGATAAACATTTCAATTTTAAAATAAAATAAAATTATTAAGAAGGATAAATGTAAGGTTTATTATGCATTTAAAATATAAACTATGAAATGAACGTGAAATTTTTTAAATATGTATATATATCATGGAAAAAGAGGAAAGTAATATCTCACCTGATGAAAGACAAGGCAGCAGAAAACAAAAAGGAGGTTTGGCTTGTGTCAGCTAGCCGCCAGATGGCAATTGGGACCCTCCAAGGATCATGGCTCAGGTCATACTCCTAAGAAAACGAGTACAAAGCAATGATTGGTAAGTAGACTTGACGACTTCACACCTAAAAAAAAAATAGAATTTTAACTATAATTTTTATAATAAGATAACGGTATTATTTTCCATAATAAATTTATGATTTAAAAAAATATTATTAAGTAACAAAAATCACATAGTGAAATTCAATAGCAAGAACCAAAAGTGAATTGTAAAATTTAATTTTAAAAAACAAATTTTGTAAATAATAAAAAATCAATCAATAAATATACAGTGAAATAAATATTTATTAACGAAATTTCTGATAAATTTACAATTAAACAGAATAAAAAGCAGTAAAGGTACTTAGGGTGCGTTTGGTTCACGGAATATAAGATTACCAGTGGGAATAAAAGATTACCAGGGAATAGGATTACTGGGAATGTTACATTACTATGTTTGGTTTGTTTGGCAGGAATGTAAGATTACAGTGTTTGGTTGAAGGAATAAAAGATTACTGGAATGTATATTTTACCAAATTGTCCTTGTTCTATATTTTTAACAAGTGTAATTCTAAATATTTAAATGAAAATATTTAAACAAAAATTCATCGATAATATATTACTTTATTATTTTTAATATATATACTTTTTTAATAAAATATATATAATTTTTTTATAAATTTAAAAGATAAATGTGTAGAATAAAGAGAAAATATATCATGTATTATTTTAATTAATATTAATATTAATTTTTACATAATTTATCTAAAAAATATATTAAAATTTTACATAGCTTCATGGAGATCTTTCTCAAACAGCTTTTCCAAAGTCGGTGCAAGAACACATGGTTGTGTAAGTTCTTCATGCAAATGAAGGGGAGACCTCCAAAACCGAATTTTCGATGAACACATACTAGTCTTTTCTTTCATGAATGCAGTCCGTTGTACACCATATTGATTAACTATATAATTGATGTACATACCTCAAACTTCAAGTACCCAAAAAACTATTATTTTCTGTTTTCGCCCTTGATTTTTTTAAGTTAAAATTGTAAAAATGTTCAGACATCATGTAACACTCCACCTTCGGACAATGCACATGGTCATTATATGGTTGGAAACATTTTATTCACGCCATATATGTTTGCACGTTCTTGTCTTGCAATACCGCTTTATGTGGCTATAGTTATATATTTCATCCACAGAATCTATAATATGCTGATAGACACCAATAAGAGAGATTCCCAACTGAAAATTACAGATTTTGGTATTGTCAACATCATACACAGGCTAATTCTCAATCTGGGTGAGAAAGAATTACGGTCGACATATCCGGAATTGCGGTCTAGCCGCAAGAAATCTGTAGGGTTTTTAGTAGTTGGCTAGGTAAGAACTTGAAGGCTTTTAATATGATTTGTTAGCTCCATATAGTTGAGGGTTTGTTTGATAGAACACAACATCACCGGTGTCACTCACATAATGATCCTTTTTCAAGCTTCGTACAAGGATCCCGAGCAAATAAAACGGGAAAGGTCCAGATTTCTGTGGCTCCCGGTAGTATTTCCCAAGCATCGACTTAGCTGTTTCGGTCTGCAATTCAAGTTCATGTAACATTTTTTTCAGTATGGGGAAACATGATTGATGTAGGAAAAGGAGATGGTGATATACTCACGGCTTCAATTAAATGATAACGTGGGATTTGGGGAAGAGATGATGTATAAAATGAGTTTCGATATCGTGATGGATGTTGTTGAGCCATCCGTAGTCTTAATCGAGTGTCGTAAGCTCTCCTCTCAAATAACTCCATTCATGGTTAATAAACATAGAGCAGTTCAATAACAGAGTAGAAGTTCAATAACATGATGTTCCATGGTGTAGCTGAAACAATTTCCAAACCTTCCCTCGGTACCACAGAAACTTCTCGTCGTGGCCGTGGTGGTGTAGGTAAGTTACCAAGTCGAGCCACATGAAGAATATCTGCAATTTATACCAAATTCGAGAGATATAATACAGAAAAACAAATACTTTGAAGAAATATGTGCTTCAAGGGACTGAAACATACCCAGTAAGGAATCCCGTAGAGCTTAAGCAACTGAGTTGGCCCCATTGCAAAAGATAAATACACAAGCAAACCAATCGTTGCTGCCCAACAGGCAATGGAGGTGATTATATATGTTCTTTCATTTGGACCGAACAAATCGCTCCCTGAATCGAAATGTGAACCACTTTTCCCAGGACTTCGACTCCACTATAAATGAATCGATATCAACGCAAATCACAGGCTCATAAACAAGAATTCAACAGACGAAACCATCGACGGCTTACCATATAGATTGGATAAGCAAGCATGGGAAAAGGCAAGGTGAACCTCAGTAATCTAGTTGCATTATCCAAACTCTTGTAAATTTTCTCAAACAACTGCAAAAAGGAAGAGTAAATCATAATCACTCGAAATGAAAATCACACTTGTTTACTCCATCGCAGAAGATCGAAGACGTTACCGGATGCCACGTGTTGTCGTTTTCAACATGTCCATGATTTTGATTATGTGTTCTATGGCTGATTCTCCTGCAAATTGATATATATAGTCAAAATTGTCATCAGGTTCATTCATATGGGACCAGATTAAGAGTATTCAAGGCACTAATGACTAACCATCCATGGTATGGGGCAAGAAGAATGAAGAGGATGACCAGCAACACTGTTCAATACCGTGTTGTTGGAGAAACTACCATGTCCACTGAAAAGAGGAAAAACAACAAAACCAAAAACACATAAATCAATGTCCAAATTGAAGAAAAAAAATCAAAAACATCAATGTCGGCCAGGTTGAAAGGAGGCGGTGCAGCAGGATCAAATCCCCCATCATCTTCTTCTTCTTCTTCAACCCCATTAATGGTCTCAACAACCTCCAAAGGAGCACTCACATTCAAAAAACCCACAAAGCTCCTTTTTCTACACCAAGTGGAGACCTTGAATGGAGAAGAACCAGGTAAAGTTATGACCTTTAGGCCATTGTTGTTGGTGTTTGAAGGAATTGAAGGTATGGGTTTTGAATAGAATCTGATTATAGGGAAGGGTCTTAAGCCGCATTCTGACAAAACCCAACTGGCCATTGCTTGCTGCGAGTCCTCAAAGATTGTGAGGGCTAATGCCAAAAAGTTTCAGCCTTTAAAAAGGGCATCTGATAAGAACAGAGAGATATACATGGAAAGAAATAAAGCAGACAACGAACAATGTGGTCTTTGAAATCAGAAGAGGGATTGAACTCTATGAACTTTTGTCGCCAATTCGAAGAAGATGACTATTTTCCTTCACAACAGCAAGCTAACTGGGAGAAGAATATAAGAAAGGGTATTTTAGCCCTTAAGCACGGGAATAAAAGAATACCTAAGTTAGCTGTGGGAATAATATTCCCAGTAAAACAGATCCAAAAAATACTGTTGGTATTGAGATATTACCATCACTTGGGAATGTAATCCCATCCAAACCTGGGTATCTTAACCCAGGAAATAAATATTCCCTCAGGAATGCAAAAATCCATGATCCAAACGCCCCCTTATTGTAATAAAATATAAAAGTATTATTGATATACAATGAAGTTCTTTTTCGAACAATAAAAGTTAATTTAATGTTTTTAAAAATAATAATAAAGGACATGTGTTGGTATGAAATCATCACATTCAGCATGTGTTCAATTGAATTCATAACATGCTAAGAAAATGGTTGCCATTATAAAAAGAGAGAAGGGTGATTGAGGGATTGGGTTTTATTTATAATAAAGGTCCTTGAATAATTTGTGTGTGGGAGTGGGGTCTTATCATGTCTGCTACATATTGTTTGATTCTACTTATTTATTAATTATTGCATTGAACTCGCTTCATTGTTATGTTGAAAGTTGTGGCCAAGCGCGTCTGGTCAACTCGTATATTCGAATTGCATTAGGATGATTAAGCTTAATTTGCCCAATATATTTTAGTTTTGAGGCTACACGACCTTCTTATGTTTGGTGAAGCAGTATTTTTACTGCTCTCCAACTCCAAGAGTTTCTAATCAGATTCCACTGGCGTGTTGACATGAATACTCGCATTCTCATGCTACGTACCTATTCATCTCACTTGTCTCTATGACGACAACGCTATACAACCCCTGCTTTGTGGTCTGTGGAGACTCATGGTAGACCATGTTCCACACTGAAAGTAGGGGCGAAGCTTATTGAGGTACGCCCCTATTAAAATTTGTATATTCAATATAATTTTAGTCAAATTATATTTTGGTTTATGTAAAAATAAATATTTAAATTAAAAATATAAGAATTTATTAAATATTTAATTAAGTAGGTAACATACTAAAGAAGGATAACCTATGTTCTCAAAATTTTTAGTCTAATAACAATTTAGTTCAATGAAAGTTTAAATATTACATAAATTAAGTGTTATCTTGTGAATTTTGAGTTTATATATATATATATATATATATATATATATATATATATGATGAATACAAGATAATATATGTACAAAGACTTTTAGCTATTTGACAATGAATGCTCATACCCCCATATACACAGCGCTCGAACTGGAGACCTTAAGGATAAAAGTATGTGTTATCTGCTGATGATGCGCACATGATTTTAAATTATTGCCTGATACCTCCAGTGGCATCGGACAGGTTGATTTGGAGTGGCCATTTCAATGGGTCATACTCCGTTCGATCCGGTTACACATGGCTTCAGTGCCGGCAGAATCTATCTCGCCTTCCACACTTCCACAGGTTGGTTTATTTGGGTGGCGGGCTGCGCATGAGGCGCTCCCCGTGGTTCGACGATTGTCTCTGGCCGAGATTTCTGATGGCCATTGTATTTTGTGTGGTTCGGCCAATGAGATTGCTTCTCATGCCCTGCGAGACTGTCCTTCGGTGCAATCAGGTTTCTTTCAACCAGGTTTTCAATGACTGGTGCTCCGACGTCCTTCTCTTCTATTGGTGCTTGGTTAGAACATCTCATGGGGTGCATGTCTGTTCATCGATTTGCGGCTTTTTTTGGTTCTCCTGTGTAAGCTCTAGCATGGACGAAATGATTTCTATCATGAGTCCCAACTTCTATCCGGCCGGTAGCTTATTGCATCCGGTGAAGCCCTTCAGTCGGCTTACCTTGCCGCTATGTCTTCTTCCTCATCAACATCTTTTTCTTAGAGTCGTTGGACAAAAACTCCCCATGGCACTATTAAAATAAATGTTGATGGGGCGTGTCCGAGATTCCTTAGTTATCCAGATGTTGGGATTATTGCACGCTATAGCAAGGGCTCCGTGGTGACTGGTCGTGCTCTTCCTGTTTTTGGTTATCGAGATCATGCTCTCCTCCAAGCCACTGTTATTTGTCATGGGGTATGGCTATTGAGATAGAATTCCCAAGTGCTATAGTCGAGAGTGATTCCTTCAATGTTGTTCTACAGTTGGTGGTCTCCTTGATGCTCACCTCTGACTCTGAGTTACAGTTCATTCTGTTCGCTGCGAATCCAATGGCGCGGCTCATGCATTAGTTACATATGCTTCTAATACTGTTACACCTTTGTATTTTGATACTGTTGTTCCTGTATGTCTTTCTATTATTGTTGCTACTCATGCTAATTTCAATTAATGAAGGCATGGTTTACATTTAAAAAAACGCTTAACTTGAAGATCAAATGACCGAATCATTCTGAAAGGCGAAAAAGCATGGCTAGTGGAAAATGAAATAGAACCGCATGAACTTGGGAGAGAAGAAAACAGGGTGTTATTTGAGTTGAAGGATGAGAAAGACTAACATTGTTGTCTTATGCTTAAAGATCTGGGCATGACCTCTGTTTCTGGTGATAGGAGCACTATAATATCAGTTTTCCACCGCTCTTAGGGAATGTAAGATTACAAGTAGGAATAAAAGATTACCACGAAATATGATTACTGAGAATGTTGTATTTTGTATTTGGTTGGTTTAACAGGAATGTAAGATTACCTTGTTTGGTTAAAGGAATAAAAGATTATTGAAATATATATTTGACAAAATTGTTCTTATTATATATTTGTATAATATTACAAATTGTAAAATATTTATATATTTTCTTTAAAAAATTAAATTCATAATATTTATATATTTTTTTACAAAATTAAAAATATAAAAAAGGTTTAATGAAAGGGTAAAATTTTTTTAACCACTAAACTTCATATAAAATTTTAATTATAGACTTTTTTTGTAAATCTAAAATAATTTAAGGATAAATTTATAATTTAGCATTCGTAGAGTTTTTATTATTCAATGACAGAAGAATAATATTTTTGAAAAAAAATACAAATTTAAGGGCATTTTAGTCTAAAACGCTGATAATGTTACAATACCTAATGGAAAGGAGGTAATGACATTCCCGGTAATATACCCAAAAAAATCTACTATTAGTAATAAAACATTACGGGGAATGAGATTCCCGACTAACCAAATATGAAAATGTGGAATTCTCATCCCATGATAATCCCACCATCCTTGAACCAAACACCCTTTAAAATGTTTGAAATCAAATTTGGGGTCTCCTTTTGTTTAAGATTAAAAAAAAATAAAACAGCTGAAATTTATGTTCTTTGAACTGGAAGAAACTGACAAGGTTGATTTGAAGATAAAAAGGTGGGCCAGTCAAATCCTCTATGGAAAGTTCATATCCAAATCTGCAGATAGCAGTGAGAGCTCTGCGAACATCTCCACGTTCTTTGTTGTTCATCAATCTCCAATCCCAATTTTTCCTTTTCTCCCTTTCATATTTTACTCTTTCAATTCTTACTCGAATGTTATCTCCAAACCCTAGCCTTTTCCACGCGAAGCCCTCCCCACTCCTCCCTGTCCTTCCACGAACCTCCATCCGCTGCTTCGCCTCCGCCGGCGGCATTCCTGCCGGCCCTACACCCCGCAAGCGGTTCCATTTCCCGGCCACCACGTTGACTCCCGACATTTACGGAGGAGGTGGTGTAAGAATTGGACAAGACAACTTCGAAGGTCCATCTGGGAGTAGCATCAAGGTTAAAAAATGGTCGAGGAATCGGGAGAATTATTTGACTAATGACGATGAACCTCTTCCCCTTCCCATGACGTACCCTGATTCTTCCCCTGTTACCCCTGAAGAAATCGATAAGCGACTCCAATGTGACCCCGAAATCGAGGTTTGTTTGTTTTAATGTTTATAATCCAATTCAAGAGTTAAGCGTTACCTTTCAGAGATTAGAATTGGTTCATCTTTGATGTGTTTTGTTTGTAGGATTGTAAGGAAGTGGTTTACGAATGGACTGGGGAGTGCAGGAGTTGCCAAGGGACTGGACTTGTTAGCTACTATAATAAAAGAGGGAAAGAGATCATTTGCAAATGTATACCTTGCCTTGGAATTGGTAATTTCTTCTTCTTGTTTGTACCCATATTGTTGATGTCAAATTGCAATTTGGAAGAGTGTCTTCCTATCTGCCTTCTCCTATGACTGCAATAATGCATGCATATTGTTGCTCAGACTCGAGTGTCAGTTAGGCGTAATGGTCAAAATTTCCTCCCTAAATTTTCTTGTATTTGGAGGTTCTTTGAGGATCATATTCCAACGCCCATATCTGGATATGTGTTTAGTGTGGATACTTCAAGAAAAATGACGAGTCGAGCGCATATATTGTAATTATGTTGTAACTCGATTAACACACTAGGAAGCATAGTTAAACATGTAAAGAGTAACCAAATCTATTCAAAGTTTATATTGATTAAAAGAATATATGTAGATTCATCATGGTTTAGACTTAACAATGCGTTACCACTTAAGCTTAGTCAAATACTGTGTAGAAATTTAAATGTGTACCCAGGAACCATTTTTTGTGTTCTTTTTTTCCCCCTTCTTCAGATTCCTTATTTTTATGCATTGGTTGTGAAAATGAAGCTGTGTTGAGATGCTTTTTGAGAAATTTAATAACATGCTTCTGTTTGCTGAGATTTTGATGCTGTTTTAATCTTGTATTTAATAATTAAGGAGTAAAGCTAACCACTTTTACATATGTTTTTTCTATGATAGATTAGACTACTGAAAATATGGCAGCCATTGACTAACTCGTGTTATGATTTTTTTTTTTTTTTTTTTACTTTGGTCCTGTATGTAGACACCGCACAAAGGCGATGAATATGTCAATATGACAAGTGATGAGTCATTCTCTTGGATTGTTTGACGATTAAAGGAACTAGTGTTTGGCATTTGTTCCATATAGCGACCCCGAAGTCACATTCATCATTCTTTGCAGGTTACGTGCAGAAGATAACAGCTCGGAAGGATATTGAAGTGATGGTGGAAGTGGATAATGGAAAGCCACCTTGAACTTGGAAAGAGTCTTTTTTCCTTCTTTTTGTCTGGAATAATTTGTTAACACCTTTCCAGAGTTGTATTTTTCTAACACCTTTCTTCAACATGTCATGTAGAGTATATTCCTTGCATGTGTAGAGGGTGAAAGAGAGCCTCTTTGAGGGAAAATGGAAAAAATGAAAAGAAAAAGTCGAGATTTGTCTGATTGAGACTTACAAGAGGGAAAAAGAATAACTTGTAACTTTATTAAAGAATGTTTTCATATGTTTGTCTGCCTTAAGCCACATCTCTGTTCTAATCCTCTACTTTTGCCGCTTTAGAATCGTTTCTTCATTGGTGGCCTACAAGCTGATAAAGCATGAAACAGTAGCCTTTGCAATTTATCTCTTGCTTTAGAATTAGAATAACTTAGTCTCATCTGCCATGTACCTATAAATTTGTAAGGCACCCGAGTTGCGAAAATAGAACATTGAAACTTGAAACCTGCATCGACTTGCACCGTTTTTGTTTCTTGCGATCTCCAGGGCGACAATACCATAAGATATGTCGAATGTCAGTTTTCTTGAATTCCAATACAAGCTTTTGAAAAACAATTTCTTGTGCAAACCGTCACGCTTGTTTTCCATAGACAGGCAAAACTCTGGGTTGTCGACTGCTTTCCAACCTGACTTAGATAAGCTGAGGAAAGTTTTTGATAAGTTCGATTCCAACAAAGATGGGAAGATTTCTCAGATGGAGTACAAGGCCATGTTGAGGGCTCTAGGGCAAGGAAATATGGCTCAAGATGTACCCAGGATCTTTTGGGTGGCCGATTTTGATGGAGATGGGTTTATCAGTTTCAAGGATTTTGTGGAAGTGCACAAGAAGAGCGGCGGGGTAACAACGATGGACATACAGAATGCTTTCCGCACATTCGATCTCAACTGTGTTGGCAAAATAAGTGCAGAGGAAGTGATGGAGATGTTAAGGAGGGTTGGGGAGAATTGTAGCTTGGAGGAGTGCAAGAAAATGGTGAGAGCAGTGGATTCCAATGGCGATGGAATGGTTGACATGGATGAATTCATGACCATGAAGCTTGAGTAAACGGGGAATTTCATTTCAGTTTGGATCCAACAGTTTCTTCCCTTAATATATGCTATTGTAGCTTTGATTTCTCTGTTTAGAAGAAAGTCTGTATATTTCAAAGAACAAAACAGTTGGATGATAAACACAGTAGTGATGCTGCCATTTCCTTTGCATAGTTGCAATGCAACAGGTTGCGCATATTTCATTTCTTTCCCCTTTTTTGTTGGCTTTGAGTTACTAATAAATTCACTAGCCTTAAAATATGAAGGAACTGCATGTCAACTGTGCTATGGCATTTGAATTCACACATTCAGTTCTTGAAAACGGTCAAAAACCGAAACAGATAAAGATGCCAAGCCGACCAACAGATTGCCATCAAATTTATCTAAAACATGAATGATATCGGGACCAATAAATATATTCACTGTTGCAACATATTTTCATGCTGGACTATTATGCTTCTGAACCCTGGAAATTTACTGTGAAGCCAAAGCTAAATGTCATATCTCCAATGAACTAGTCACCACTTCTTCAATGTTTCTACACTCGACTCCTAAATATATCGGAACACAAGAAAACAGAATCTGGTAGGTTTTATTCTGCAAAAAGGGATATGTAGAATAGCAGACACTAAAGACAATAAAATATTACTAATTAAGCATCAGAACAAGCGGAAAAGTATACATATCTCCTAATAATGAACCGTTTACTTGAAAACACAAGCAACGAGTCAACAATGGTTCTGTTCGCAGCAATGCATATTCCCTAAATTCTGGAACTTTACATATCAAAATCTAAATAGAAAGAATTCACAAAACTGATCGCGAGGCCTTTTACCAGTAATCACCACAAGAATATAAGCTATCCTTGAAATGATGGAAGCGGTTGATCTCTCTAATAACCCATCCTTGCAATGATGCAAGACCTTTTACCAGTAATCATCACAAGAATAAATGCTATCGTTGGAAGCTTTGATCTCTCAAATAAGCAATCCCTGCAATGATGCAAGGCCTTTTACCAGTAATCACCACAAGAACATAAGCCATCGTTGAAATGATGGAAGCGCTTGTTGTCTCTAATAATCAATTCCCCCCCAACAATCCTAGATATGATCTTGATGGCATTGTGACAGTCACCGCATACACGAAGGTTCTTAATGATCCTAAGAGTTTGCCTAGCTGGGGTACTGATCAGACCAAATGCAATTGCCAATCGCTCACTGTGGTACAACAGTGCTTGTTCTTTAGCTTCTTGGTCAATGTCATGAACATACTGTAACACCCCAAACCGATGCGGGTAGCCCGATCCGATTCGGGAAGTCACATTAGGGTCACCGGAGCGACCCACCGTAAAAATAACGGAAATTTTAAAACTTTTTATCAGAACATGTAAACTTATAAAATCATTTATCACTATTTAAAAATAAAACAGATTTCCAAACTCGTATATAAATCAAAATACAATTACATGCCCCCTAATCACAAATACCATACTCTGCAACCACGCCGGAAGAACTCCCTTACTGAAGTCGATAGATGCACTGGTACAATTGTTTTAACCTGAAAAGGTGAGTAATAGAGTGAGCTTTGGAAAGCTCAGTAATACAGAACTACCAGATGATGCTACATGACATGTAGATAAATAGAAAGCCATATAATTTCCTTATTGAATCATATGTATACCAGCTTGTAGAATAATTTGGGGTTCCCTTAGAAGTTCATCGAGTAGAAGCCATGAATCTCAGTTCATAAGAAACCTTTCAAAGTATGACATTTTCAGGAGATCGAATAGGATGTCTAGTGTGTTCCAACAGTATAATAAAATCATAATAGGTACAAATCATAGTCCAGTAAATATCACAATTTCGTAAAAGAGTTTAACTTTTGAAAATCATAGTTTAAACCCTTTTTTTTTGGTACACCATCAGTAGTTGCCAAAATTATTTTCCATATAGCTTACTTTATGCACATAGCAAAAAGAAAGCCGACTTAAGGATAGGCTCTGAAGCTTGTATCCTTAAGCCCAAGTCAATAAGTCCATATAGCTTACCCTAAGCACACAGCAAAGGAAAGCCGACCTAATGAAACATCTTGGGGCCCTCAAGAGTCACATTAGGCCCAGTTAGCTTGATCAGAGCTATTCCATCGTAATTCAATTCCAAAATTCAATTGCACCGTGACATAAATTCCATAAATCCAAAAACATGGTAATCATATACCATTTCAAAACAAAAATTAGATAGCAGCCATATTCCATAAATTGTCACATTAAATTGGTGCATCCATAAAACAATAACCAATGAATTCGGTGTACCACGTATTAAAACCAATAAAATAGTTCAATAATAAGTAGGGAACACACTAGAGAATCCCAGTATTTCCAGAGGCCATTGTAGTTATCATTTTGGATAACATGAAACTTATGAAATTTGATCGAATTCCTGGAACAAGGTCCTATTGAGGAGAATCGATTACTAACCGATCTAGCCAGACATTTAATGTTGATACATTAGAATCCCACTATATTTTCGTGTGCTTTAGGAAAACGTTCAGGAACCTTTATACATAATAATTCTAAATTCAGATTTACTGCGAGTGATTCCATTACCCAAACAATCAGGGGTATTCAGGAATATACTTTAAATTCATAGGATTTCAGCCCAATTGAACCAAATGAGATATTCAGAATCTTTTCCATCTGCGTTACTTGTTTTTTTTTTTTTTTCAAACATGACCGAAGTGATTTTAGATGAAATATAGAATCGAAGATTCAAGTCATTTACAATCTACGACTATCGATCATATTATCAAACAACTCGAGTTACACAAGTCTCAAACTGATGCATGTCAACAAGTCAATTCATTATCCTTCCAGTGTATTCACTCTTTAATACCATAGTGCAGATCCATAGATCATCCCCATAATCATCACTGAATAAATCTTCCAACGGTCTTTATTTCATTTCCACGTTTCAACAATATCAGGAAATACTGACGTACTTGATCCATGGCTCATAACCCATAATGACAATTCATCATGTAAGTTCAACAGTGTTTCCAAACTCATCAAATCACCTATTTAATCCTTACTCATTGATGTTACTTAGTTCGTTTGGTAAGCAAGTCTATCTCGATTTCTTTAAAGTTTTCCAGAATAATTCAGACGTTTCTGAATTTCAAATACACGTTGTACTACATTTCATTTCAATTTATTCATATAATAAAGTCATTCTGGTATTCGTGGTTGATTTGACTAACGACTACTCACTTATTAGTACTGTATGCGCTCTAGAGTTGAGCTGCGCCAAGTACTTCCAGAATTATCATCGATCCAAATTTGAGCTGATGAACAAACATTCAAGTGATACTTATATCATTCAGGTAATGATATAGTACTAACGTTGGTTAATCACTTAAGTTGCGTTTCACAACTTTTACTGGTAGCACAACATCCATGTTTATTTGGATTTCTTAATTAATCCAAGACATTTACTTATTCTAGGTCATAAGGGCATTTTGGTCATTTTGGTGCTTAACATTTTTTTTCTATTCATTTCAAAGCTTGAGTATATCCATTCATTCCTGAGCTTGGTGACATTCTTGAGTTATTTCCATTCCAGGGGTAATTTGGTCATTTTATAATTCTAGAATATTTCAATCATTTCCTTCCATCCGGTCTTATTATTTAATTCAATCTTATCATTTACTTCAGTCCTTTCGAACAATTCTGTCAGCAGAATACCTCCAATAAATTACTCTTCAAGTATTTACCCCTTATTCGAATATTTTCGGGTCAAGTGTCTTCTCAGATTTTACAAACGGAATATTATAAATTTTTCTGTACAAAGACAGGATCTTAACAATTAAATTCGTACTTAATCGAGTTAAGTACAAATCCTCAAAGTACTCTCTCATTCAGGGTCAATTCAGACTATTTTATCTCTCAAGGGCATTTTCGTAATTTCTTAACCAAATAATTTCAATATTAGCACTTAACGAAAATAATTATAATTTAGAGATCCTATGATCAATTGCTTTCCCGAACATTCTTTGATTTTGAAATGATTCCTTCACAAACTCTCATAGGATTAAAACCGGTTATCCATAATTTCCAAATAAAACTAACATTTCTTATGCACATCAGTAGTTATATCGGATCAATATGTCTTTTCAGAGTTATTAACCAACTTCCAGGGGCAATTCTTATCATTTTCCAACATAAGGGTAATTTCGTAATTTTACCATATCGGAGTATTCTCATAATTTTTCATCCAAGTATCCTTAACATTTAACCCTTGATGATATAAAATATAAGTTACAAATCCAGAGCTGATTTCTTTATCACCAATCACAAACTTGTAATTTAATTCTAACAATTATCAATCTCTTATCTTAGTCATTCGATCCGTATTCAGTTACAGAATTTCTACCACATTCATATCGAGTGAATAAATTATTCAACTCCACAAAAGTGACCAACATTATCTTATTCATGCATTTACCAATATCAACATGTTCCATAAAGCATAAAGAGGTAGTAAAGTATTACCTCGATTTCCGTGTAATACTGATCGACCATAAAAATTCCATTCGAACGCCTTTGATCTTCAATTCAACTTCCAATAATTCCTCAGATACATATCAGCATAAATTATATCAGAAACGGAGCTTAATTACGATAAACGGATCGAATCGGGTGATAAATCAGTGAAAGACGGCTTACCGGGTTTGAATTTGGCGAAACGGACTTCGGATTCGGATTCAGGACGTCGAAAGCATAAAATATGACTTTTCGGAAATTTGGAATTTTTGGTCAAAATCAAAGTCAACGGGTTTGACTGACAATTACGAGGTCTTCGGGTTCGAATTTCGAAAAACGGACAGCGGAATCGGATTTGGAACGTCGAAAAATGTCAGGATAGGTATACTCGGTCGAAGTCAAAGGTCGTTTAATGCCCGATCAAAGCCGGTCAAAGTTTTGGTCAACAGTGGTCAACTCCGGTCAATGGTCAACGGGTCAACGGTCAACGGTCGGGTCAACGGGTCGGGTCGGGTCAATGGGTCAGGTAAACGGGTCGGGTCGGGTCAACGGGTCGGGTCGGGTTGTGACCGGTCAAACCGGTCAAAACAGTTCCAAAACCGGTCAAACCGGTCACTTTTTCCTTCCCCACGCGCAGTGGCGGCGCGTGGGGGCGCGTGAACAGTGATAAAATCCCGGAAAAATTTCTAAAAATTATTTTGAGCGATTTCGAGATACTTACAAAGCTCGGTTCACAATTTTGAACGGCGGAGAGCTCGATTTCAACAAATCGGGAAGTTTGACCGGTTCACCTCCCAACGCGCCGCCGCCGCCGGAGAAAAAGAAGAACACCGGTGGACTCGGAACGGCACAAGGAACACGATGGTGCGGGAGGTGTCGTAAACAGATGACCCGATCGTCGTGAATCGATGAAAAACCAACTAAAACCGAGTTATTACCGACGATACTTCCAACTGAAATTCACGACGAACGGTGATGATTCACGACGAAAGGTTTGAGGGGTTTTGTTCCTCGGTTGGCAACGAACACGATGGTGGTTTCGGCTCGTCGATCGGAGGTCGGACGGCGAGTAGATCGGAGTTCGAAGTAAGGAGAACGGGAGAGGAAAACTGGAAAATTTTCCAGAAACATACGGGAGTCTGGGGGTTTATAATATCTCATAATTAAAAATGGCTAAACCAAGAGTTTAGCCATTGAACTTCCTGCACTTCTTAAAACGGTCTGTCAACTTTGAAATCTTACAATTTAATCCCTTATTTCTTTCAAAATACCAAATTAAATCCACCAATTTATATTTTCTTAAATTTAGCCCCTAAATTGGGGTGTTACAATTCTCCCCTCCTTAAAAAAATTTCGTCCTCGAAATTCATTCATGTCACATAATTGCATAAATAAAACTTCCATCAGTTCTTTCAAATCTATCAATAGCTTTTATAAAAGTACGATTCCTCCACTTATCCTTAACCAGCTGAGCATACATTCTTATCATAAATTTTCCTTATTTCAATAAAAGAATTTAAAATTTTCTCGAGTAATCAATCTCTTCAGAATTCTCCCTCAGTCTAAGTAAATAATCAGAACAACTTTATTATTGTGAAATCAATTCAGCATTGGATACGTGAATAGGCTCGTAGAGCAGCAACATATCTCAATTTCATTTCCGGAGTCGAGTCAGAAATTCTCAGATGAATAACTCTCACATGGCTCATGAGATACTTTACAGCGTTTAGACAGATGTTACTGGTATTCCTTTTTGTACAAGTATAGCCTTAGCAGATAGAAACTTTGGTTTACTCAATACAGATAGGGACTCAGCCCTGGAGTTCCGGCTCAGAGAGGTACGATTGCAGTCTAGGGGCATGTACTGATCAGACATATTTTGACATTTGACCGGCCGGTCTATCTTGAAAAATCTTAACTCAAACCAAGGCTCTGATACCACTAAATGTAACACCCCAAACCGATGCGGGTAGCCCGATCCGATTCGGGAAGTCACATTAGGGTCACCGGAGCGACCCACCGTAAAAATAACGGAAATTTTAAAACTTTTTATCAGAACATGTAAACTTATAAAATCATTTATCACTATTTAAAAATAAAACAGATTTCCAAACTCGTATATAAATCAAAATACAATTACATGCCCCCTAATCACAAATACCATACTCTGCAACCACGCCGGAAGAACTCCCTTACTGAAGTCGATAGATGCACTGGTACAATTGTTTTAACCTGAAAAGGTGAGTAATAGAGTGAGCTTTGGAAAGCTCAGTAATACAGAACTACCAGATGATGCTACATGACATGTAGATAAATAGAAAGCCATATAATTTCCTTATTGAATCATATGTATACCAGCTTGTAGAATAATTTGGGGTTCCCTTAGAAGTTCATCGAGTAGAAGCCATGAATCTCAGTTCATAAGAAACCTTTCAAAGTATGACATTTTCAGGAGATCGAATAGGATGTCTAGTGTGTTCCAACAGTATAATAAAATCATAATAGGTACAAATCATAGTCCAGTAAATATCACAATTTCGTAAAAGAGTTTAACTTTTGAAAATCATAGTTTAAACCCTTTTTTTTTGGTACACCATCAGTAGTTGCCAAAATTATTTTCCATATAGCTTACTTTATGCACATAGCAAAAAGAAAGCCGACTTAAGGATAGGCTCTGAAGCTTGTATCCTTAAGCCCAAGTCAATAAGTCCATATAGCTTACCCTAAGCACACAGCAAAGGAAAGCCGACCTAATGAAACATCTTGGGGCCCTCAAGAGTCACATTAGGCCCAGTTAGCTTGATCAGAGCTATTCCATCGTAATTCAATTCCAAAATTCAATTGCACCGTGACATAAATTCCATAAATCCAAAAACATGGTAATCATATACCATTTCAAAACAAAAATTAGATAGCAGCCATATTCCATAAATTGTCACATTAAATTGGTGCATCCATAAAACAATAACCAATGAATTCGGTGTACCACGTATTAAAACCAATAAAATAGTTCAATAATAAGTAGGGAACACACTAGAGAATCCCAGTATTTCCAGAGGCCATTGTAGTTATCATTTTGGATAACATGAAACTTATGAAATTTGATCGAATTCCTGGAACAAGGTCCTATTGAGGAGAATCGATTACTAACCGATCTAGCCAGACATTTAATGTTGATACATTAGAATCCCACTATATTTTCGTGTGCTTTAGGAAAACGTTCAGGAACCTTTATACATAATAATTCTAAATTCAGATTTACTGCGAGTGATTCCATTACCCAAACAATCAGGGGTATTCAGGAATATACTTTAAATTCATAGGATTTCAGCCCAATTGAACCAAATGAGATATTCAGAATCTTTTCCATCTGCGTTACTTGTTTTTTTTTTTTTCAAACATGACCGAAGTGATTTTAGATGAAATATAGAATCGAAGATTCAAGTCATTTACAATCTACGACTATCGATCATATTATCAAACAACTCGAGTTACACAAGTCTCAAACTGATGCATGTCAACAAGTCAATTCATTATCCTTCCAGTGTATTCACTCTTTAATACCATAGTGCAGATCCATAGATCATCCCCATAATCATCACTGAATAAATCTTCCAACGGTCTTATTTCATTTCCACGTTTCAACAATATCAGGAAATACTGACGTACTTGATCCATGGCTCATAACCCATAATGACAATTCATCATGTAAGTTCAACAGTGTTTCCAAACTCATCAAATCACCTATTTAATCCTTACTCATTGATGTTACTTAGTTCGTTTGGTAAGCAAGTCTATCTCGATTTCTTTAAAGTTTTCCAGAATAATTCAGACGTTTCTGAATTTCAAATACACGTTGTACTACATTTCATTTCAATTTATTCATATAATAAAGTCATTCTGGTATTCGTGGTTGATTTGACTAACGACTACTCACTTATTAGTACTGTATGCGCTCTAGAGTTGAGCTGCGCCAAGTACTTCCAGAATTATCATCGATCCAAATTTGAGCTGATGAACAAACATTCAAGTGATACTTATATCATTCAGGTAATGATATAGTACTAACGTTGGTTAATCACTTAAGTTGCGTTTCACAACTTTTACTGGTAGCACAACATCCATGTTTATTTGGATTTCTTAATTAATCCAAGACATTTACTTATTCTAGGTCATAAGGGCATTTTGGTCATTTTGGTGCTTAACATTTTTTTTCTATTCATTTCAAAGCTTGAGTATATCCATTCATTCCTGAGCTTGGTGACATTCTTGAGTTATTTCCATTCCAGGGGTAATTTGGTCATTTTATAATTCTAGAATATTTCAATCATTTCCTTCCATCCGGTCTTATTATTTAATTCAATCTTATCATTTACTTCAGTCCTTTCGAACAATTCTGTCAGCAGAATACCTCCAATAAATTACTCTTCAAGTATTTACCCCTTATTCGAATATTTTCGGGTCAAGTGTCTTCTCAGATTTTACAAACGGAATATTATAAATTTTTCTGTACAAAGACAGGATCTTAACAATTAAATTCGTACTTAATCGAGTTAAGTACAATCCTCAAAGTACTCTCTCATTCAGGGTCAATTCAGACTATTTTATCTCTCAAGGGCATTTTCGTAATTTCTTAACCAAATAATTTCAATATTAGCACTTAACGAAAATAATTATAATTTAGAGATCCTATGATCAATTGCTTTCCCGAACATTCTTTGATTTTGAAATGATTCCTTCACAAACTCTCATAGGATTAAAACCGGTTATCCATAATTTCCAAATAAAACTAACATTTCTTATGCACATCAGTAGTTATATCGGATCAATATGTCTTTTCAGAGTTATTAACCAACTTCCAGGGGCAATTCTTATCATTTTCCAACATAAGGGTAATTTCGTAATTTTACCATATCGGAGTATTCTCATAATTTTTCATCCAAGTATCCTTAACATTTAACCCTTGATGATATAAAATATAAGTTACAAATCCAGAGCTGATTTCTTTATCACCAATCACAAACTTGTAATTTAATTCTAACAATTATCAATCTCTTATCTTAGTCATTCGATCCGTATTCAGTTACAGAATTTCTACCACATTCATATCGAGTGAATAAATTATTCAACTCCACAAAAGTGACCAACATTATCTTATTCATGCATTTACCAATATCAACATGTTCCATAAAGCATAAAGAGGTAGTAAAGTATTACCTCGATTTCCGTGTAATACTGATCGACCATAAAAATTCCATTCGAACGCCTTTGATCTTCAATTCAACTTCCAATAATTCCTCAGATACATATCAGCATAAATTATATCAGAAACGGAGCTTAATTACGATAAACGGATCAAATCGGGTGATAAATCAGTGAAAGACGGCTTACCGGGTTTGAATTTGGCGAAACGGACTTCGGATTCGGATTCAGGACGTCGAAAGCATAAAATATGACTTTTCGGAAATTTGGAATTTTTGGTCAAAATCAAAGTCAACGGGTTTGACTGACAATTACGAGGTCTTCGGGTTCGAATTTCGAAAAACGGACAGCGGAATCGGATTTGGAACGTCGAAAAATGTCAGGATAGGTATACTCGGTCGAAGTCAAAGGTCGTTTAATGCCCGATCAAAGCCGGTCAAAGTTTTGGTCAACAGTGGTCAACTCCGGTCAATGGTCAACGGGTCAACGGTCAACGGTCGGGTCAACGGGTCGGGTCGGGTCAATGGGTCAGGTAAACGGGTCGGGTCGGGTCAACGGGTCGGGTCGGGTTGTGACCGGTCAAACCGGTCAAAACAGTTCCAAAACCGGTCAAACCGGTCACTTTTTCCTTCCCCACGCGCAGTGGCGGCGCGTGGGGCGCGTGAACAGTGATAAAATCCCGGAAAAATTTCTAAAAATTATTTGAGCGATTTCGAGATACTTACAAAGCTCGGTTCACAATTTTGAACGGCGGAGAGCTCGATTTCAACAAATCGGGAAGTTTGACCGGTTCACCTCCCAACGCGCCGCCGCCGCCGGAGAAAAAGAAGAACACCGGTGGACTCGGAACGGCACAAGGAACACGATGGTGCGGGAGGTGTCGTAAACAGATGACCCGATCGTCGTGAATCGATGAAAAACCAACTAAAACCGAGTTATTACCGACGATACTTCCAACTGAAATTCACGACGAACGGTGATGATTCACGACGAAAGGTTTGAGGGGTTTTGTTCCTCGGTTGGCAACGAACACGATGGTGGTTTCGGCTCGTCGATCGGAGGTCGGACGGCGAGTAGATCGGAGTTCGAAGTAAGGAGAACGGGAGAGGAAAACTGGAAAATTTTCCAGAAACATACGGGAGTCTGGGGGTTTATAATATCTCATAATTAAAAATGGCTAAACCAAGAGTTTAGCCATTGAACTTCCTGCACTTCTTAAAACGGTCTGTCAACTTTGAAATCTTACAATTTAATCCCTTATTTCTTTCAAAATACCAAATTAAATCCACCAATTTATATTTTCTTAAATTTAGCCCCTAAATTGGGGTGTTACACATACCTCGTATCAGGCACATAACTCGCTTCTTTCATTGTTTTCAAGGCCTTCAATTTCTCATCATCCTTGTAAAGGGTTGGATTACGGAATTCTCTTGGTGGTGGCATGGGGATTTTATTCGCATCAACCTTTGACGGGTCAAGATCAACCGTCAGCTCTTCAACATAGTCTTCAAGATCAACATCTCCATGAATTCGAGCATAATTCCTCAAAGCCTCCCAAACTTCAGCAGTTGGCTCAAAGGGCAGTTTTTTCTCGACATACTCTTTAGCTTCATAAAGATGACCAGATTTTCCAAGAACGCCTATAAGCCCCGTATAGTGCTCCACCCCAGGAGAAATTCCATACTCGCTCTCCATTGATTGAAAATGTAAAAACCCTTCTTCTATAGCTTCTGCTCTACCACAAGCAGAAAGAACTGCAAGGAAGGTCTGTTCATTCGGTTTCAAGCCCAATTGCCTCATTTGCTCGAACAACTGCAACCCTTCATCTCCCAAGACATTGTTTGCATACCCATTTATCATCAAATGCCAAGTATCCATATTCCTATCAGGCATGTCATCGAAAACTCTTCGTGCATCAGTCATGCACATTTTGCATACATTTCACTCACCTTATTGTTCAATCCAAGGTCACCTTGACATGTCGACTGCAAGAAGTAATCATGAACTTTCTTCGCATCCTCAAGTGATTTGGGATTTCCAATGAACACAAACAAAGAAGAAAAACAATCGGCGTCAGCTTTAACTCCTTTAGCCATCAATTCAATAGTTTCTTTGACTTTCCCCTCATGACATAACCTCGTTAAATCTATCAATGAAGCAACTGGCTCAGTCTGCACATGCTCCACCATTTGACCTTGATTCCTTCTCTAGGGGTCCGACTGATTGGAATTTTGACTTTGTGGGGCTCTTTCGTTAAAATTTCTACCTTAAGGGTACCCACGGCCTTGATTTTGATTATTCCACTGATTTGGGCTACTGGACATTTGTGTATTCATCGGAATAGCATTTGGGTACTGAGGATAGCTCCAATTCTGCTGAGGATTCCACTGATTAGGCCTTTCTCGTTGAGAATAACCCGGACCCTGATTCTGCTGGGGATTCCATTGATTGTTACCAGAAACTCCGACCTGATGTTGCGGATGATGGTAACCTAAGTTTTGAGGGGTCCATTGGTTATTAAAATTAGGGTTTCGTTGACCATGAACACCCCTGGGATCAGATGACGGTGGCGGTTGCTGGATTTTGTTGTGCGGCGGCGGCGGTCTCTGGTAGTTGTTTGGGATTGCGCTCATGGACAAAACTTGGAAGTGGCCATCGAAAGGGAAGTGAGAGGAGTTAAGGCGTACATTGGAGAAGAGAGATTGTTTTTCTTAAGCTGCTTTTTGAAATGGAAACCTCCGATAAACCTTATAAGAAAGGAAGGGGATACACTATCAGGTGCCAGGCCAGTGTTAAAAACCGAGCAAGCCGGGTATGTTTTTGGGTTTGCAAATGGGTACCGGTCCGTTTCATCCTTTAGGACTCCACTTTTATGGTAGGATTTCATTGTTGGTAGTAAAATAGAACATTGTTTTACATAAGATATGAGGTTTAAGTAATTATGTTTGTAAAATATGTGTGCGATTGTATGATATTAATTGATTAATTTTTTTTAATAATATTATCTCATAATCACTCTAAATTATTAAAACAAAATTAATATGATAAATAATCATTTTAATCAATCATTTAACTCTCTTATTTTGTAGCTTAACTGTTAAAGACATTATTTATCGTCACCATCCATCCACCTTTGTCATTCAAAAGCACCGTGATTATGCCATCGTTCACCCCGTTGGGAATTTGAGTCCTTGAGGTTAGTGGAGGTCTTCTTGCCTGTAGATGCATTTCTCTTCGATGGCCTGTGTGCATTCAAGCTGTAGTTATGGAGATTGTCTTGTTTTGATTTGACAGATAACTGGTTAGTGGAAGTCTTCAAACCTGGGACACTGCATTCTTTTGATTTGCTCCCTATTAAACTTGCCTGGCATAATGACTCAATGGCCTACCTTCCTCACCGTCAACGTGCGGTATTTCTAGCTTGTAAACTCCAAATTTATCTTTAGTTCTGTTGACTGTGACGTTCATTTGCTCTATTGCTTTTGGTGATTTTGCTTTAAACTTGAATTCAATGTTGACTTCAACACCTGGTAAAAAACAAAGGCAAGTTAAATATTACAAATGCAAGTGTTGGTGTTTGTTCCTTCATAAAGTAGGACCAGTTTTTAGGGTTGTGCTAGTCTTACTAATACCTGACAAGAAGTAGCTGTGTCTAAAGAAAGTGTTGCTTGAACATGTATCACAGAAAACAACGCCCACTATTTTGATCCGAGAGATGGGATTTAGGGGTTGAGTTATTGCGGAAAGTCGATACATGAAAGAGGATGCTGAAAGAAGAAGATGGAGAAGACGAATGATTGGATCCATGACAGTGAAACACTCATATTATACCTGTTGGAAGTAGAAAGCATTGTAGTTTACTATAGCTTAAGACTGAAGAAAATATGAGCAATATCCAAATAGCTATAAGCCCGTGAGTAATAGGTGTTAGGACCAGACCAACTCTAAAGCAAGGATCTGAAAATGTAATTTGTTTTCTAATCACCAAAAACAAAGACATGTGAAGAGCCTCCTTGACAGGATGTGAAAATATGGAAATACAGTGAGGTTGCAACTCTGTACCAGATGAAATGGTGACTTGCAGTTCATGGTCAAGTTTATTTCTCTCGGTGCACAAGCTCAGCCATCTGGCCGCCAGAACGACGACTATAACCTGAAAGATGCCAATTCTCAGAGGAGTGAACGATGGCCTAACGGTGGTGCTTTTGGAGGACGAGGGTGGGTGGATTGTGACGAGAAACAATGTCCTCAATAGTTAAGCTACAAGAGAGGAGTCAAACGGCTAGTTAAAATGGCTGTCCCGCGTGGCTAAACGGTGTCACATTGGCATTATGTTACCCCGGTAACGGTTATTATTAAAGAGTGATCAATTTGTTATAAATCGATAACATCAGTGACAAATCATTAATTTTAAAATATTAGTGAAGAGAATAGAAACTTACTCAAACATCACTTACTATTTATATAATTTACGTTTACAAAAATTTGTTCATTGATTTAATAATAATTGATTAAAAAGGTGTGATGCAGATTTAACCAAGCAGGTTCAGAAGATAGCTCTTTATTAAGGGATAAACGAAAGAGTTTTCCTTTGAGTTGAGCTTGAGTGCTCTTCTTCCTCAAGTTAGTAACTCAAAAGGATTAGATAGAATGGAGCTATGAAATATCTTTATTCTTTCTAAATGATTAGATCAGACTATTAAATTATAACGACCATTGTAAGATAATTAATCCTTTATATTATTGAATTTTTGACTTTTTTAAAATAAAAAGTTATGGTTTTGATATTGTTTTCATTAAACACACACCCAACATTGATACACGACAGAAACAGGGAGATTAACCAAAGCACACAAAACAGAGGAAGAAAATGCAGCAGAGCAGCTGCAGTCGATCAATGTCTTGCCATTCCAGGGATCACTATTGGCACCGCTGCAACTCCACGTTTTTGCCTATCCATGTTTGCTTCCCAACCTTCATTCCCAAAATAAAAAAATATATATAGTATTGATATGGATTGATTAATGATGCACAACAAAAAAAAAAGGATTGATTTTGAAAAAGTGGAATTCTACTTGTGGTCCCTGTCCCTCTAAATCACCCAACATTGAGATTTAGCCCCTATATTTAGTTATAATGTGATCTTTCTACTACTGCATAGTAAATAGATTAAAACCGGAATTTAACCTTGTAAAAATATGGTTTACCTATCTCCATGTCAAAGCCACGATTTTTGAGCTCTCTGTATTCTTGACAGAGAGCAAACGGACCACAGCAGAAGTGAACCAGACAGTCATTAAAAGGCTCCTCGGCTAAGTCGTATTGTCCCCTTAGTCTCGAGCGATAGAAGAATGAATATAAACATGCACAACCGGTAAAACCCAACAGCACCGCATACAACAAACCCCTTGAAAAACAAGCTGCCAAAAACAAGGATCAAATTTCAATTTTTTTTAACCAATTGAAACAAGCATCAGATTGTAAAATAATAATAATAATAATAATTAAAAAACATGAAAACTTTACATGTGTGTCCTCGGTTGACGATCTCCGATACCTGTCCGAATGTTATGCAAGGACAAAAACAAGTAATCACGCCTGAAAATTTCGGAAATCGAATTAAAGGGTTCATCTGAAAACGAAAATAAACATGAAAACGATGAAGATGGTTAATGTTTTATGAGCTTACAATTTGCAGGGTCATCGAAGCAATGGCAAAGACCAGTGGTCCATTCTCCAGGCGGATGGTGTTGAAAACGTGTAGGGAAAGTGCTTGAAATTGCTGGAGTTGGGATGGGACTTGGATCGCCGTAAGCCGATGTCCGAACAGTCGGATGATCCTGCGTGCTAGTATACATAGTTTGTGATTTTTGGATTTCTTTTAACTTTTCAGTTGGTTTGATATTTTATGCAGAAAACGGAGGATTATTTGCAGGTTCTTCCATGGCTTTTAGATTATGGAAAGTATGAAGCTGTAGGGTATCCCTTTGCTTGCACTGTAAGTCCAAGTTGATAATTTAAGCATTGATTCTGATGTAAAGCCCATTCCAGATAAGACATGTTAGGAATAATATGAGGCGGATGGATAGAAACCAAATCATAACCAATATTTTGAGGTAATGTTAGAAGATAACGATAATTATAACGAATATGTAATGAAATAGACATTAATATTTATTTTACGTGAAAAATCTTTTCAATTAAATTAGATATTTTATTTTCTTTAATTTTCTCTTAATTTTATATATTCATTATTTTAAGTTAAGTCCGATTCAGATTAAATTCTAACTTATATTATTTACCTTGAAAATCATGAATAATAGGTATAATATAATTTACTTATAATCCTTTATCACAACTCGAGTCCCGAATCCACGCCTTACATGATAACACTAATATTTAAACATTTTAGTTATTCAATTATTTTTTAAAAGATTAAGGGTTGAATTGTCTAACTCTAAAAAGGAATGCATATCAAATTGATAAAGAATAAAATATTAAGAGTTAAAAAGTCATTATGCCAAAGAAATAAAACAGCAAGGACTTATATTGATTTTTTTTTCTTGGAAAAAAGTTTTGAATTGAGATTAAAATAATGCTTTTATAAGTTGGAAAATTAATATCACGGACCTACTTATAAATGTAGAATAAATTTAATGTTTTTTAAAATTATATTATAATTATAATTTTATATTTTTAAAATAATTTTATTATTTCTAGTAATTAATTTAAATAATGTGTCTTTAGAACGTATAATATTTTATAATCACCCTAAGTTAATCGATTAAATCCAAAACTTACTTTTCACTTTATCAAACAATACCTTAACCTTTTAAATAATGTGTCTTTAGAACGTATAATATTTTATAATCACCCTAAGTTAATCGATTAAATCCAAAACTTACTTTTCACTTTATCAAACAATACCTTAACCTCTTAACTATTATATTGACTAATTTAATTATTATATTATAAACATTAAAATAAATTTATAAACCATTAAATCAACCAATTTAATTCACATCCTTCAAATGGTTAGCAATAGTATTAGTGTCACACTATTTATAAAATAGTTGGGGGCTGGGGGGAAGTGTTTGGAAGATAAAGGCGAGTTCACCCTGGTCGCCACATCCAACCCATAGACTCACCGAAGCCTAAGCCCTAGTCCGCACCCGATCCATTTCCTCTAAATATTTCCAGATCCAAGATATAGTCCAACAATTTTGCATTCCATTTTTACCGCCAAATTTCTGATTTTCAAAATTCTTATTCTCTCATCCCTCACTCCTCTTTCTTTCACCACCCAAAATGGCGAGGGAAAGTCAGTCCACATCATCAACGATGGAAGACGAAGAAATTTCCTCCGATTCCGATTCCGATTCAAGCGACGAATACGCCGTTGAGAACCCGGAAGAAGACGATGATTACGAAGAAGAAGAGAACCATGACGATGGTGGAGAATCTACCGCGCATCATCCACCGCTCGATGGAGATCTCAAATCCAAGAACGTTGATGCTTTGTTAAGGTGCTTTCCGTTTCAAAAATCAAATGCCTAACAGAAAATGACCAAAAAAAAACGAAGAACTTGAATACCGATCGCAGTTAAATATATTTGATGTGAATTTTGTTGATAGTTTATTGAAGTCTATAATAATGATTTATTAGGGGCAACCTTGTTGTAAGAAGACAATCGCTGCTTCCACGAGTTCTTTCAGTGATAGAAGGAGCTGCAGTTTGTAGGAAACCATTTAAGCCCCCATGTTCTAATGGGTATGGTGACGGGAAAGAAAATCTTGCACGTCGTCTTTGGGCCCGGAAGCGGTTTGTTCCTTGGGGCTCTTCAAGGTCAGCGTTACTTGCAATAGCCAAACCGCTAATTAGAACAGAGTCCGACAGGACTGATACTGAGGAGGAAATTGTGACACTTCCGCCAGGTGTTGAGCCTTTGGTATTATGGCAACCTGAAGAATCTGAAGATGGACCCAAAAACTTAGTGCCCATAGCAGTGGATCCCTTGCTTGTTCGTTTTCTTCGACCCCATCAAAGGTATTGTCCATCAGTCTCAATCCTGATTTTCAGTTTGAGGAAATGCAGGGTAGAGCTTTTTGTACATAGTTGTATGTATTTCTTTATGTAAATTTGTGTCTGCGTGTATGTACGTAGATGCAATTCAGAAATGACCATCTTCTGTTTGAAAATTGAAACTACAGTGGTTAACAGCGCACTGAATATGGATTTTATTTGGGTATGGTGTGGGTCACTGAGAATATATTGTATGTAGAATAAGCATGTTTTTATGTTTATTGGTTGTGGATGTTATCTTCTTTATTTTAAGGGAGATATTTTTTCATTTTGTAATGCAGAGAAGGAGTTCAGTTCATGTTTGAATGTGTGTCCGGGCTGTATAGCGCTGCCAATATTAATGGATGCATTCTTGCTGATGATATGGGGTAAATATCTTATCCCTTCAGGGTAAATCCCTTCACATAGTTTATGATCTCGGTTATCATACTCTTGGTTTTATTTACATATCCTTCATATTTGCAGTTTGGGAAAGACATTGCAGTCAATCACTTTACTGTATACCCTTCTTCGTCAAGGGTTTGATGGGAAGCCGATGGTTAAGAAGGCCATAATTGTCACACCAACCAGTCTTGTCAGTAACTGGGAGGCAGAAGTCAAGAAGTGGGTTGGAGAAAGAGTTCAACTTATAGCTCTCTGTGAAAGCAGCAGAGATGACGTTGTCTCTGGAATTGACAGCTTCAAAAATCCCCGCAGCTTCGTGCAGGTAATTTTTGCACTTCATACTTCAGTGTGGTACATTCTTTTTGAATTTTTTATCAATTTAATCAATGGTTTCCAGGTATTGATTGTTTCATATGAGACATTTAGGACGCATTCATCAAAATTTTGCCAAAGTGAGGCTTGTAATCTTCTTATCTGTGATGAGGCTCACAGGCTGAAAAATGACCAGACAATAACAAACCGGGTTTGTTTCTAAAGAAGCTCTTTTCTCACCTTTTTGTTCCATGGTAGAAGTCATTTTTTTGTTGTTTTTCTAACAATTTCCATAGCACGTCTATGGTCTAGGCATTGGCTGCTCTCGCATGTAAACGCAGGATTTTGCTATCTGGAACTCCCATGCAGGTGACACTGTAACCGTCATTTTATATGATTCATGAATTATGTTTGTCTTCCTAACATATAGTTTCCCCTCATTTCCCATCCAAACAGAATGACCTCGAAGAGTTCTTTGCCATGGTCAATTTCACTAATCCAGGAATTTTGGGTGATGTTGCATACTTTCGGCGTTACTATGAGGTCAGTTGGTCACTCAGCACTATAGTTTCAGAGGTTAAATTTGCAATGCAAAAATTACATGTAAAAATGCTTCTACCTTTGAGTTCCCAAGTTCCATATTTTTGTTATCTTCAAAGTCACCTATACTTTTAGTTTAAAACTCGTATGTTATCCCTTCTCTGTTTCTGCCACACTGGTCTACAAAAAGCTGTGAGAAAGGATTTGCACTTGGGCATACATATGTGCTGTCATTAGTGTTGCATCAGTAAATATACCTTGCATATCCAAATGCCTGTTTGATCTCCTTTCTGCCACATTAAGCATTCTTTTTTCCCTTGAATCCTTTACCTTGTGTAAAGGTCAGTTGCTTTTGGGCAGTTAAATGCTTTACAATTGATTTGTTGTCACGCGGTAGAAAATATATTTAATGAAGTTGGTTTTTTAAACTTTGAAGGATAGTATCATTATGGAAACCATCACAGTGTATAGTTAAATTCATCTAAATAAATTTTAATTAGAGAAGTTAGGAATGTATGTTGCAGTTGCAGTTGCCTGGGAGAATGCACATCCTTGTATCCTCTATTACTAAGTAGTATTTTTGGTGTCTACATAATTATACTTGTTGTTCTGTTTACCTTTTCTTTTCCACTCTAATAACATTTGCTTGTTCCTTATATAAACTGTTATAATGCCTCCAAATGATGAAGACACCAATAATTTGTGGAAGAGAACCAACATCTAATGAAGAAGAGAAGAAGCTAGCTGCAGAACGTTCTTCAGAATTAAGTGCAAAAGTAAATCAGGTGATGATGGTTTATTATTCATATGTTTAGCAGTAACTGAGTTTCTTGAGGATTATATCTACATTCTCATTGGTATATGAACTTTAGAGAGTGGTTGCTCTATTCCTGAAATCCATCTCTTTATGTATTGCTGATTACTGTAATTCTTTTGAATAACCACCGCCTGTGTTTTCCGCAATTGATTGAAAGATACCTGATTGCAGTTCATATTGAGGAGGACTAATGTGTTGCTATCAAATCATCTGCCTCCAAAGGTATGGTCCTCATATTGAACTACATTTTACTTTTTACATATCATTATCTTAAACTCCTTTTGCAATATTATCTTTTACAAAAGGCTTACAATATTAAATATAGGTTGGTGAGCTAGACTAGATATTTAATTGATTATCTGAAATTTTCCTTCAGGACATTTTGTTCTTCTTGCAGATAATTGAAGTAGTATGCTGCAAGTTGACTCCCCTTCAGGCTGAGTTGTACAACCATTTTATACACTCTAAAAATGTTGGTTTTTTTGTTATTGCTTTCCAGTGGACTACCTGAAAATTACTCTCTGTAGACCAAACATAATTGTTGTCTTGCCCCTCTTGAATTCAGGTTAAAAAAGTCATCACTGAAGAAACAAAGCAAACAAAAATCTTGGCTTATATTACAGCTCTCAAGAAGCTCTGCAATCATCCGAAGGTACTATAGTTTGCGGGAAAAACAGATTTTTTGACATGTTGCTTAATGTATAATGAGTTTTGTGTACTTCTTGAATGAAGTTTGGGAAACAGCTAAATCTGTTATTTGTGTGTGAATTCTACATTCCATATTTGGCACAATGTTCCTTTTTACATTCAGCATTTCAAAATTAGTTGGATGTACTAGCATTT